CACACAAACAAGCCAACATAATAAGCAGCTAATAGCACAATGACAGGATCCAATCCACACATATAAATACTAACCTTGAATGTAAATCGCTAAACACTCCACTTAAAAGGCACAGAGTAACAAGCTGGATTAAAAAAAAAAAAAGCAAGCCCCAGTGGTATGTTGTCTTCAAGAGACCTGTATTGCATGTAATGACACTCACAAACTCAAAACAAAGGGATGAAAAAAATTCTACCAAGCAAATGGAAAACACAAAATAGCAAGAGTTATAATCCTAATTTCAGACAAAACAGATATCAAACCAACAGAGATAAAAAAAAAAAAAAGACAAGGAAGGGCATTAAATAATGGTAAAGTGTTCAATCCAACAAGACCTAACTCTCCTGAATATGTATGCATCCAACACAGGAACACCCAGATTCATAATAAAGGTTCTTAGAGTCCTACAAAATAACATAGACTCCCATACGATAATAGTGAGAGACTTCACTATTATTGTTATTACTCACTACATTCCACTGACAGTATTAGGCAGAAAATTGAGGCAGAAAATCAACAAAGATATTCATGACCTAAACTCAGTATTGGACCAAATGGATCTGATAGACCTTTACTGAAGTCTCTACTCCAAAACAACAGAATATGCATTCTTCTCATTGCCACATGGCACATACTCTAAAATTGATCACATAATTGGACATAAAACAATCCTCAGCAAATGTAAAAGAATGAAATTAGACCAAACACCCTCTTGGACCACAGCACAATAAAAATAGAAGTCAATACAACGAAAATTACTCAAAACCATATGATTATATTAAACAACAGTTTCCTGAATTACTTTTGGGTATATAATGAAATTAAGGCAGAAATCCAGAAGTTCTTTGAAAATAACAAAAACAAAGATACAACATGCCAGAATCTCTTAGACACAGTTAAGGCAGTGTTAATAGGGAAATTCATCATACTAAATGCCTACATCAAAATGTTAGAAAGATCTCAGATTAACAACCTAACTTTACAACTGAAAGAATTAGAGAACAAGAACAAATCAATCCCAAAGCTAGCAGAAGACAAGAAGTAACAATAATCAGAACTGAACTAAAGGAAATCAGGTCACACAAAAAAATTCTAAAGATCAACAAATCCAGGAGTTGGTGCTTTGAAAAGCTTAATAAAATAGGCCAATAGCTGGACTAATTTAGAGGAAAAGGGAGAAGATCTAAATAAACACAACTAGAAATGACAAAAGGAATGTTACTACTGACTCCACAGAAATAAAAACAACCATGACCATGAATGCCTCTACACACAAATTAGAAAAATTAGATGAGATGGGTAAATTTCTGGACACATAAGCCCTCCCAAGACTGAGCCAGGAAGGAATTGATTTCCTGAAAAGACCAATAATGAGCTCCAAAATTGAATCAGTAATAAATAAGCTACCAACCAAAAAAAGCCCAGGATCTGATGAATTCACAGCTGAATTCTACCAGATGTACAAAGAAGATCTGGTACCATTCCTACAGAAACTATTCCAAAAAATTGAGGAGGAGGGACTTCTCAGCTTATTCTGTGAGGCCAGTGTCATATTGATACCAAAATCTGGCAAAGACACAACAACAAAAAAGAAAATTCTGGCCAATATCCTTGATGAACATTGATGTAAAAATCCTCAACAAAATACTTGCAAACCAAATCTAGCTGCACATCAAAAAGCTAATCCACCATAATCAAGTAGAGGCTTCATCCCTAGGATGCAATGTTGGTTCAACATGTGCAAATCAATAAATGTGATTCATCACATAAACAGAACTAAAGACAAAACCCACATGATTATTAGCCTTTTAACAAAAGTCAACATTCCTTCATGTTAAAAAAAAAACTCTCAGTAAACTAGGTGTTGAAAAAACATACCTCAACATAATAAGAGCCATCTATGACAAATCCAGAACCAATATTATACGGAATGGACAAAAGCCTAAAGCATTCCTCTTGAAAACTGGCACAAGACAAGGATGCCCTCTTTTACCACTTCTACTTAACATAGTATTGAAGTCCTAGCCAGAGCAATCAAGCAAGAGAAAGAAATAGAGCATATCCAAATAGGAAGAGAGGAAGTCAAACTATCTCTCTTTGTAGATGACATGATTCTATATTGAGAAAACTCCATAGTCTCAGCCCAAAACTCCTTCAGCTGATAAACACCTTCAGCAAATTTCAGGATACGAAATCAATGTGCAAAAGTCACTGGCATTTCTATATACCAGTAATAAGCAAACTGAGAGCCAAATCAGACAGGTAATCCCATTTACTATTGCCAAAAACAAAATAAAATACCTAGGAATACAGCTAACCAGCGAGGTGAAAGATCTCTACAATGAGAATTAAAAAACACTGCTCAAAGAAATCAGAGAAGACACTAACAAATGGAAAAACATTCCATGCTCATGAATAGGAAGTGACAATATCATTAAAATAGTTATATTACTCAAGCAAATTTACAGATTCACTGCTATTCCTTTCAAACTACCAGTGAAATTCTTTACATAACTAGAAAAAATTATTTTAAAATTTATATATATATATGAACCCAAATTGCCAAGGCAATCCTAAACAAAAAGAACAAAGCTGGAGAAATCAGATTACCTGACTTCAAACTACACTACAAGGCTACAGTGACTAAAACAGCATGGTACTTGTACAAAAACAGGTACAGAGACCAATGGAACAAAATAGAGAGCTCAGAAATAGGGCTGCCCATCTATGACCATCTAATCTTTGACAAAGCTGACAAAAACAAGCAACGGGGAAAAGACTCCCCAGGATAACTGGCTAGCCATATGCAGAAGATGGAAGCTGGACCCCATTCTTACACCATATACAAAAATAAACTCAAGATGTATTAAAGACTTAAATGTGAAACCCCAAACTATAAAAACCCTGAAGACAACCTAGGCAATATCATCCTGGACCTAAGCATGGGCAAAGATTTCATGACAAAGACACCAAAAGCAATTGCAACAAAAGCAAAAATTAAAAAATGGCATCTAACTAAACTTAAGAGCTTCTAAATAGCAAAAGAAAGTATCAACAGTAAACAACAGACAACCTACATAATGGGAGAAAAATTTTGCAAACTACGCATCTGACAAAGGTCTAATGTCCAGCAACTATAAGGTACTTAAATTTCACCTTCTGGGTTCAAGCAATTCTCCTGCCTCAGTTTCCTGAGAAGCTGGGACTACAGGTGCCCACCACTACGTCCGGCTAATTTTTATATTCTTATTAGAGCAGGGTTTCACCATGTTGGTCTGACTGGTCTTGAACTCCTGACCTCAAGTGATCTACTTGCCTCAGCCTCCCAAAGTGCTAGGATTACAGGCATGAGCCATTGCACCCGGCCAAAATTGGCCACGTTTTATAGGACAACAAGATGTGTCTAGAGGGACTGGATTCTGGAACAGCTCCAAATGCAAAGACACATCACCTGCCCCAACAATTCTTCCCCTGTTTCTTATCCCCACCACAAGGTTTCCTGAGAAAAACAGCAGTAGGGGAGTGACTGATAAGCAGGAACCAATTGCATAACTCTGCACATTCTGGGGCCCCCAAAAAATTTAATTCAAAAGTAAACCAAAAAAATCTGATTCTTCAGCCAATCTCCACCTAGCTCAACTACTGACAAAGTCAAGTAGTCAGCAGCTTGAGATGATGGAACGGAGGGAATTCATGTAATATGAGCTTTTCAGCTCTTAATTTGTATCTAGTGTATCTTGACAATGAAGTGGGGATTATGTCATCTGGTCTTAAGATCAAGTCATTAATTTAGCATAGAACAGAAGAGAGGGGTGATGGTGAATTTCAATAATCACTGCTAAAGCATAAGCAAAAATTAAATTTATTCCATTCCTGTTCCTATCCCAGATTCTCTCTACCTGCTCCTTGGCAAACAGCATTCTGTCCAATCACCCACTTTAAAAACAAAGAACATGGTAGTCCCATTCTTATCAGTTTTCAGCTTTGCATAGGCCAGGAGAAATCGTTTGAAACTCAGGCTGCAAGAAAAGGGCAACTGGTATCTCTGACCCACCCATATTAAATCGCAACTTGACTTAACCAGGGCTTCTAGGGCAGAACAATTATAAATAGTTCATCCACAAGCTGGAGAAAAAGCAGCTCCACCTTCGTCTTCTTTTGTGGGTCATTTTCAGGCAGTGCAGTCTTGCTCATAGATCAGTTCTTCTAGCTGGCCCAACAAAATAATTCAGGAGGCCATGGTGGGCAAATATTTCAATGTGTCAATGAACTGCATCCAAGAACTAGGATTTGGCAACTCACACATCTATAGAAGATCAAAGAAAGGGACATACACTTTTCCTCATTCACCTTGATCTACGAAAGAGTCAGAACATCATTCTAAAAAGTCTGTGACAGAGTCGTCAAATTCACAGAGCTAGAAAACAGAGTGGTGTTTGCCAGGGACTGAGGAAGCCCCCTTTCAGCCCATGAGAGAAACATACAGGTTTGTAAATATTCAGGTCTGTCTTAGAGGGGAGAGGAGGATAAAGAGATCTAAGCAATCTGAGTAACAATAATAAAACTAAATATGACATGAAAAGTCTGTACCAGGCATCGTGCTATCATTTTCTTCTGTCATTTATTCAACCCAGGACAGAGCAGACACCTACTGGTCTGATTTTAGGAAGAATTCCTACGTAACACCTGAAGTCCTAACCAGTGAGCCCGATTTCCCTGCTTTAGGGTTCACAGATGTGTGCTGGTCCACTGGTTGTGAAACAGATATTAATGCCCTTGAAGCTCAGTTTTAAAAATATGTGAAGTATAAGGGTCCTATTTAAGAAATAAAATTTTCTCCTATTCCTAAGAGTGAGTCCACAGACCCTTGTTCGAGAAACGCTGACTAAAAATATTGAAGACTTCCTTCCTGAAAGTCATGCAATAGTAAATCAACACTGCAGAATAGAAATGTTGTCTAAGTGACAAAAAAAAAAAAAAAATTATCATCATAACAAAAATGCTAGGCCAGGTGTGGTGGCTCACACCTTTAAATATCAGCTCTTTGGGAGGCCAAGGCAGACAGAACCTGAGGTCAGGAGTTCAAGACAAGCCTGGCCATCATGATGAAACACTGTCTCTTCTAAAGATACAAAAGATTAGCTGGTGTGGTGGCGTGAGCCTGCGTTCCAGCTGCTCAGGAGGCTGATGCAGGAGAATCGCTTGAACTGGGGAGGCAGAGGTTGCAGTGAGCCGAGATTGCACTGTTGCACTCCAGCCTGGGCAACAGAGCGAGACCCTATACAAATAAAATAAAATCTAAATTAAAGAATGTTTAATTTTCTCATAGTTCATAGAGACCCTCCCCTTCCAAAAATATGACGAGAGATCTCTGTTTGAGAAATACTTCTCTTAGAAAGTTTTGGGAGCCTCTGACAGCCATGGTTGATGGGTGGTGGGGAGTGAGGGAGAGAGTAGGGAAGCAGGAAAAAAATTCAGTGTTTTGGTGGTGGAGATTCTAAATCAAAAACATTTTAAAAAATGGATTTACTTCCTGAAAAGGGAAATAGGGCTAGGAAATAAATATATGTACACATGGAGGGAGAAATAATGTTTAAGGAGTTTATTTTCAGTAGATAGTAGGTGGCTTGATTGAGCACATTCAGCTACTTTGGAAAATGGCACCTAGTGAAAATATTGTTCAGCAACAAGACTTGGGTGTTTGTCTCCATTTCAGCACCCCCATTCTTCTCAAGCAATTTGATTTGGGGTCACTTGTTTCGGAGATTTAGGCAACACTTTCATGCGAATATTTATATGGGCAGATTTTGTTCTCCGCTGGGGCTGTACAGCTGCCAGCCATTTATTGCCTGCTTGGTACAAGGGCAGGTTTTTTGTTTTGTTTTCTTCCCTTTCCCCTCTATGGTTCCTACAATAGAAATAATCATTTTTGAAAATGGAAAGGAACCCACTCCCTTTTCATAATCTCAGCTACAGATCTGCTTTTGATTCTGCATGCTTCACTTTGTTCCCTGAAGGATAATTTGGAGATTTCAGTAATTAACCCAAGACTCATAGGAGGCAGTCTTTCGGAGGCTGGTAATTTTGCTGTGGTGGAGTCGGCTGCTGTCAAGCATTAACTTCTTAATAATGAAGCCTTTCAGACCCTCCGCTATTGGCACAATGATGCACTTGAAGCTAGTGGCTTGGCGGAGTGTAAGCGGGCCACTTCTATTCTTTCCTTGGACAAAATAGTCCTCTTGATCTCTGGGTTGGAGCTATTTTTAGTTTAGTTCAGTTCTTTTTTGCTTTTTAACTTGGTGGGCAAGTCTTTCACTTATATTTTGATCCACTGCTTAATCTGTTGCCTTTTTTCAAAAAGACCTGCAAAAAGGCACCCTTCCCAATATCCAGCAGCTAGTCCCCCCTTTCAGTATATTTAGAATCCTCTTTTTAGAAGAGCTGTGACTCAACTCCTGCATTAAATGGGACCTTGCTCCTCTGAGCCCAGTACACTTCCTTCTATTAACATGGTAATGTCTCTGGTGCAGCGCTGGGGACAATCACACCTGCAATTAAAAACCAAATTAGGATGTATCTTTTCTTGGCAAACAGGATCCACAGAAATTCAAAGACAGCTGCTACCCCTCCCCTCCCATTTCCACTCATCTTTTAATTCCCTCTTTTAAGCTTTGAGCACAGAAAGGAACTAGAAATTTCTAGTTGTTATTTGATGAGTCAGTATTTTAACTGATTTGGCAAATACCGAGGGCTTACCATGGAACAGACTTTTTATCAACTTGAGATAAACAGAGCCATTTTATCAACTTGTCATTGTAGGTTCTGTGGCTAGGACCTATGTGCTTTGAAAAGGATTATGAAAATACAAGACCTAATATAGTTGTATTATATATAGCAATTATACACATACATATATAACAACCCCATAAACACACAATTAATAAACAGTTAACTAAATGTCAACCAGCAGCATTCTATCAACCTAGTTAATTATAGACCTTAAAACAAAATCCTGATACATTTGCAAGGAATTTATAGGTAGATTTTCCAAAGATTTCCAAATGTTCTCCTTATAAATGAAATTAGCTTTTTTATAATCAAATAATTCCAAAAACATGTTTTATTTAAAATTTGTAAACATTCTTTTTATGCCAGAAATTACAGTTCATGTGAGATGTATATTGTCAAAATGCTTCATTTGAGAAGAGCCTCTGAAGGCTTTAAACAGCCCAGTGAGAGCAGATGAGGGGAGTTCATGGAAGTAGATGCTTCCAATTCTGGGTGAACAGACAAGGCTACACATAATGCTGGAAGCCTAGTCAAGAAGATACAAAGGATGTGTGTCAGGGACCTGCTGCATTCCTGTTAATACTCAGCTATTAATACTTTTACAGAGCAAACATTGTTCCCAGGTAGGTCTTACTATTATCTCTGCAACTGATGTCCCTTGGAATATTTGAAGACAATTCTCACATCAACTCAAAAGTCCTTTCTTGGCCAGGCATGGTGGCTCATGCTTGTAATCTCAGAACTTTGGGAGATCGAGCCTGGTGGATCACCTGAGGACAGGAGTTGGAGACCAGCATGGCCAACAGGGCGAAACCTCGTCTTTACTAAAAATACAAAAACTTAGCTGGTTGTGGTGGCAGGCACCTGTAATCCTAGCTACTCAGGAGGCTGAGGCAGGAGAATCACTTGAACCTGGGAGGCTGAGGTTGCAGTGAACAGAGATTACGCCATTGCACTCCAGCCTGGGCAACAAGAGTGAGACTCTATCTCAAAATAAAGTCCATTCTTTTCTGTTTCCTGTAGAATATTCTGGTCACTTTCTTTTGCTCATTCCTCAGTTTTGGGTGCCCCCAAAAGGAAAACGCCATATTCCAGGTGTGGTTTAATGAGTACAAAGTAAGTGGGAGTCTTGCTGTTACATTAGAGTTTTATTCTTATATTAACTCAGCTTCATCACGTTTTGATGCATATCGGGGTTGTCCTCAACCAAAACACAGTAGTCTATGGGTCCTCTTCACATCAGTGATGCCAAGTGGATGACCTTCAACCAGTCCTTGTGAAGATGGCTTTCTAAATGTCTTTGCATTTATGCTTGTTAAATACAGTTTTAGAATTGCTCCCTTCAAAACAAACCCCATAATCAAAACCCTGATTTTGTCATCAAGTTTAGGTATTATTCTTCCCAGCCTTGTGCCCTCTTAAAGTTGACAAGCTGGCTGTCTGTGTTGGAGAGGACAGAGGTGAGCAAGCATAGAACGGGGGACTGCGCCTCAGAGATTACTGTGAAATTATGTTTGCCTTTGTGGTTAACGTGTTTCATTGCCTACAAAAATTCAACAAAGGAATCGTTCTCTATTTTGTCAATAGAGACACCACAGATTATTCTTTAATGCTTCACTAAAATAATGGTATTCTGATTTTCAACAAACATACAGGCAGGAGTAGTGCTTCTGTAGTTTCTATTTGCAACTTCATATTATATGTCACATGTTAACATGATAACACCCAGGATTCGTATATACTAACTCATCACGGCATTTCTTGTAGGAACAAGCCTCTGAGTCTAGGATGATGAAGTTAAATTTATATGAGACCAAAAAAGGAGTAAAAATAATGGCTCTGCACCAGTTGTGGCATAGCTATAAGGTTGGATGGGACCTGGATAGGTCATTTCATCCTCCCTCTACCCCTATTAAGTCATGCTACTAACCTGTCTTAATTTTCCTTAGGTCTTCCTTTGTCTATCTTTTTCAAAATTTTGCATAAACCATGTTTTCTGAGTTACCATACACATTCTAATTTTTGAAGGTTTAGGGACAGTGTCTGATTCAATGTTCCTTGTCTGGCTTTGGCTAGATTTAAAGTTCTTGGATCTCTGATAAGTACTTAATGGCCCTGGGGACACGAAAAGAAGAGTGAGCCTTGCTCTGAATTAAAGGCTCAGAAACCCAGGGAAGGCGCCACATTCCCTGGCTGTGTTAATTAGCCATGCCTGTTGCTAGTAAGTCTCTGGAGATATTTTACTAGGATCACAGAAGCAATTTGCAATGCCCAGAGTGGGGGAAAAAAACAACACTCAAGCTTTATAAATCTCATAGAAAAGACCTTTGCCTTCTCCAAAGAATCATTCTCCTTATATTTAACATTATTTTTTTGAAATCAGAACAAGGGAACATAGATATCAAACTTCTGTAATTCAAAGTGAATTATGGAAATGCATTTCTCTTTCCCCACTTGTGTAATTCAATTCAGTGTTCTTACTCTGCAACAAAACCCTCACTATTAATAGCTGAAAGCATGAGTTTATAATCATTTTTAAAAATTCTATGGATCTCATCCATGGAATTTATTTGCTCTTCAATACTATCTTTCCCTCCAGGGACTCATTACTCATTTACACATCTAGAAAGTAAATAGTGTGCCATTAACTAGAGAAAAATGCAGCCTCCAATTCATGGCACCAGGATATGGGTTTTTTTTTTTTAAACAAGACAAGCATTTGGAAACAGAATACTTTAAAAGGAAAAGATCAGAACTTGTTTTTCAATGAGTTGAGAACAACAGGCACTATTGTAGCCCAAAGCAAGGGTCTTAAAAACAGTTCAGGGTAAAAAACCCGCAACAGACTATTACATATAAGCTGAAGATTTAGATGAAATATTTTTAAGTTCTAAATGGATTTCAATTTCTATCTTAATGTGATTATCTATTTGCAAATTTAATCTTGACTTTTAAAAAAAGACTTCGGGTTCTGATAAAATTGAAAACATTGGTAGTAATTATTTTAACTAGAAATGGGGACATATTTTCATAGCAGCTATTGATCTGTGGCCTAATTGGCACCATAGGGAAAATTCTTCCCAGTATTCTCTGGGTTGGGGAGAATGGTTCACTATCTGATTTCATCAAAAGACTATAAGCAACATAGTGAGACCTTGTCTCTTAAAAAGAAAAGACTGTGGATCGAGCTCATCATAAAAGGGCAGCATGAATCCTGTGTGTGTATGACACCTATATCAAAGGACAGGCATTCCTGACTTATAACCATTAATCTTGTAAGTGTCTCAGGAGTGAAAAGAATTGATTTCTTCCTATGTTTGGTTGGTTATGCTGGGTTTCCCTGGAGACGAGGCTGGAGAAGAACTACATAAGCTGTCAGCTCTTTTTTATCATAGAGAACTGGACATAATCTTAATATTAATAATATCTGACATTCATAAATCTTTTATTTTGTGCTTGGTATAATTGTTGACACTTCACATATATGAATACATTGATTTCTAACAACAATGTCTGGAGGGTACCTTAGCATTCCTGTTTTACAGAGGAGGAAACTGAGAGTCAAAGAAGGTAAGCTATTTCCAAAGCGCAAGCAATTAGTTGGCTTGAGCTCATGTGGTTTAGCTCTAGAGTGGCATTAGCCAAAAGTCATGTAACGTGAGATACGTATATAATTTTAAATTATCTCATAGCCACATTAAAAAAAATTAAACTGAAATGTATGGAATTAATTTTAATAATATGTTTTCTCTAGCTCAATATAGTCTAAATATTATCATTTCAACATGTAAAATGTAAAAATAATTAATGAGATATTTTACATTTTAAAATTCTTTTTAAACAAAGTCTTTGAAATCCACTGTGTGGTTTACACTTCCAGCACATCAGCTTGGATTAGCCACGTTCCAAGTGCTGGATGTCACATGTGGCTCAGGCCTACCAATCTTGAGTCAACAACTAAATGTCTCTTCCTCTGCAGTCACTCCCCTCTTTGGTTGGAGGCAGCTTCTAAGTCCAGAATGGAAGTAGAGTAGGGGATTAGGGGGCAGTTTTTGGGAGAACTGGAAGCAGTAGAGCCCTTCCATCCCATTGGTGCCTTTGTGTATATTAGAGTAAGGGCCAGCTCTGCAATGACACAGTCCTTTGGGTTGACAGATGCTTGGGTGGATGGCAGCCCTCACTCGCCCCATAGGCAACAAGCTCCACAGCCACACACCACCACCCTGCCTGTGACCTCGAACACTCAGTGGCCTCCTTGCAAGGACTGGACGAATGAAAAAGTCTTCCTGGACTGGCAGTTCTTGGGTGTGGGTAGAGTGGGGCTAGGTGTTCATGTCAGGGAGAGAAGTGAGAGTGCAGCCTTCTGGGAGGCGTCATGGGGTGACTGTGCTGCTGGGAGACTGCTGCCAGCCAGAATGATGTGAGGTGTCCTCACCACTGTCCGGCACATAAAATGCAGAGGCCTTCTGCAGTCCTCAGCTCCCTTGCCATCGCGACTTATATGTGTTTTCTGTGTTTCTGTTGTTTCTGAAGGCAGTCTGCTCTGGGGTTACAGGCTCAGTCTCTCTTGCATTTTGTTTCCTTTTCCATAATTACAAACTCATTGCTCACTAGATTGTAATAGATGATTGTAGTTGTAGATTGTTGGCGGTTTTCCCTGTTGTTCGATGTCTTTCCTCTGAAAGGAGAGGGTTGCAGGGCAGCTAATGCTCTAATAAACCAGGTAGGCTTTAGAAGACAGGGATCTGGCAGTGGCCAG